ACCCCACACAAGGTGCCTCCCTCTCGTGCCAGGACTATGGCAGCAGACATCTGGGTAACCTCCCTGCTTTACTCCTGCCCCTACAGTCTGTTCTTCCACAGAACTACTGGAATGCACTTTTAAATTGGACTGCAGATTAAATCCATCCTCTGCTTAAAATCTTCTATCAGCTTCCTGCACACTCAGAATGAAATCTAAAACCTGGCCTACAAACCCTGCAGGATGTAGTCCTCTGTATGCCCAGCCTCATCCCTTTCCGCTACCCCTCCTGCCCTCCCACCATGCTCCCCTCACCCTCCTCTTTGGGGGCTTTTGAGCTAGCAGCACCCTCTGCCAGGACTTGCTCCCCTTCTGCCTTCATGGAATTGGTGCCTTCTTGATATTCAGTGCTCAGCTTTCCAGGCCTGATGCCAGGGCTTGCACTCCTCTGTCCCCACTCCTCTCTCACCAGCTGGCTACCCCACGTCCAAACCACATGTATGTCCACATGTACCTAGAGACAGTCACCCTGAAAATCTCTAGATCTGGGGAAGTGTGAAAGATACTCAACTGCCTTATTTTAGCCTTGTTAGCAGAAGACTGAATACGCCGAGGGTGAACTATCACTCTGCCTGCCAACTCTGTCCCACGCCGCGTAGCCCCTGCCTCAGCCGGTGACTCAGCCTGGCTCTCAGCCTGCTTCCCTGCCGCCCCGGCCCACTCGCCCACCCTCTGTGCAGGACACACCCTCAAGTGCCCCGGCCAACCTAACTCCCAGAAAGTAGTACCCCTTGCCTCATAGAACTCGGCACCCTGGCTGTCCCCAGCAGGGTTATGTACACAGAGCCAGGAAGTGGTGGCTGAGCTCAGGAGAACGCTGAGCACAGGGTGACCAATACCTTAACCATGAGAGGGCTCCTCGGAAGTAGTCACAGTGAATATGACAGTTACCTGCACATGCAGGCTTGCTCAGGGTGCCCAGCAAGAGTACTTGGAAAGATTCCCAAAGGATTCAGGGCCAGGCCCCCTCCACACCTCCTGCATCAGAACCTCTGGGGAAGGGGCCCAGGAACTTGTATTTTTTAAAAGCACCTCTGGTCAGTTTCATGTATTTGGGAGTCTCTTGCTCTAAGACAGCATTTTCTTAAACTTGTTTGATGATATGACTCCCTGGAGGTGCTGGTTAAACAAAGAGATGGCCAGGCCTCCCACTGGATGTTCTGATTCACTCAGTCTGGGTTGGGCCCAGGAATCTGATTAAAAAAAAAGAAAAATCAAATCAGGCTCGGCGCCCATAGTTCAGTTAGGGCGCCAGCCACATACATGGAGGTTAGCAGGTTCCAGCCCAGCCTGAGCCTGCTAAACCACAATGACAAATGAAACCAAAAAATAGCCAGGTGTTGTGGCGGGCACCTGTAGTCCTAGCTACTTGGAAGGCTGAGGCAAGAGAATCACTTAAGCCCAAGAGTTGGAGATTGCTGTAAGCTGTGATGCCACAGCACTCTACTGAGGGCAGCATAGTGAGACTCTGTCTCAAAAAAATCAATCAATCAATCAAATCGATGGAAGTGTTTATGGACAGTGCTTAACACAGGCAGATGCTTCAGGCCTTCCTTATTCTCCCAAACCTGAGTCCCACCCATCTCGCCTGAGCAGCTGGCCTATGTCCTGTCTAGAAGAAGATGGCAGGCTGGCTACCACTTGTGCCTGGGCCCTTCCTCTTCTTACTTCTCAGACTTCCAGAACCTTCCACCTCCCTGCATCCCCCTACCCCCGCTCCATGGACGGGACCTTCTTCCCTCCCAAGCGCAGCACTTTCTTCATCCCTCCTCTGCCCCTCCGCTGCCCCAGCAGGGCCCTCCTCATTCAGTTACTCCCCCACAATGATACTTAAATGGACTCCTCATCCTCACGGCCATCCTCCCTCTATCCTCTGCCTGCAGACGGGCTCGTGCCACCACGAGTCCCATCGAACATAGCTCCCTTCAACTTAGAAATATATGCAGAGAAACCTTCCTCAGGCTCTTGAGTTTGGTTTCCACCCACCAAACCTCTCATCTATGTTGAACTGAAAGTTCTTTCTTAAAAGTCTTCAACCAGCAGGAGGTCAAATCTAAGGGCCTTTCTCCCTGGGATTTGCCCCAGCATATGTCCAAACCCAAGCAGTTTCTCCGCTAGACACTCAACCAAGGAAGTACTTTCTTACAGTGTACTGGGATGCTTGGAAAGATGGTGAGTCCCTATCACTGGAGGAATTTAAGCAGACTCTGTGGGCCCCTTGGAAGGGTTGTTACAGAGGTGATTCAAGCCTAGCTTCAAGACTAGATAACCCCACGGGAGTCTGTAATCTGGACCCCTTTGTTATAGATGGTGACACAGAGGCACACCAGGGCAAGAGTCTCAACCCGTTGCAAGGGCCCAGATCTCCTGCCTCCCAGGCAGACCAGTTCCTTAAAGGTTCATCTCACATGCCAGTCTGGCTACTAGAATCACCTAGCAGAGACAAAAAATGCAAATTCCCAGGCCCAAGCCTAGAGGTAGTGATTCTGAAGGGTGGGGCATCCTTGGCCACCACTGACCAGATAGCTCTGACCAGCTAGGCACCAAGGTAAACAAGGGAGGGCCAAGGCTGACCCCTGCTCCCCTCATACGCCTGGCAGGTGGAATCTGCTCCACACACTTCCTGTGGCCCTTTCCTTTTATGGTTTTAAGAGCATAACATCAAAGGACCAGAGAGGTGGAGGGATTTTGCATGGTCACCAAAGCAGGCTCCACCTCCCTTCTTTATATCCTCCTCCCTGTCTCCTCCCTCCACTTCTACATTTCCACCTGCTGGCAGATTCCAGTCCTGGGCACAGGTCCCGGCGCAGTGGCAAGGCCAGAAGTAGACAGGTTCTTCTGGCTCTCTAAGAAGGAAAGGGAGGCTCGGCCACTTACCACGTTGATGAGAACCATGGTGGCTGGCTTCACTCTAGAGGAGATGGGAATGGAGACCAGTCGGCCCAGGGTGATGAAACCCCAAAAGAGGCTGGGCAGGTAACCTGCCTCCTTGTGTCCAACAGACAGGGGCTTCTCAACAGCATAGCTGTACACAAAGGCAGAATATGCCCCCTGTGGAGAGACCAGGCCCCGTTGAGCACAGCAACCCCACCAGAAAATGACCCTCACAAAGGAAGCCCCAACTGGGCAGATGTGGCTAGAAGAGGACCTTTCCCATCCCAGAGGCCTACCAGGGTGGGCTGGGAGTCCCAGCCATCCAGCAGGCTCAGGCCTCGGCTAGGAACAGGTCCTGGGGTGCCACAGCCTACAGAGCGCATCTGTGGAGACCTGGCATTACAGAGATGTGCCTCGGGGTCTCCACAGAGGGTCCCGTTGGGGCCTGGGCTCAAAGGCGCTGCCCCCAGCTTTAACCACAGCAGAGTGTCACTATGCCTTATTTATGAGGTTTCTACAAAAAATTCTTGTTGAAGGAAAGTTGCTGCAGGTAAAAAGAAAGAAAAATGTGTGTACGAGCATCTCGTTTCACAGATGAAAGAGCACAGAGAAGTGACTTGCCTAAGGTCACAGT